GGAATGCTCGTGCGAGTCGGCGTCAGCCATAATGTCATCGATGGAGCCGCCGGCATGCTCGAGGATCAGGTCGTCGCCACCCGGATGCGAGTCAAGGAACTCAGTAACATTGTATACATGATCCTTGTAGATCACCCAGCAGTCATTGCGGGTGTTGTGCTTTGAAACAGCAGTGCGAGTGAAAACACGCGACATGAAGAAAAGCAAGTGTGGCACGTAACTTTATAAAGCTTCCAATGGAGGTGCGTTCGTCCCGCACTATTCACGCCACATTGCTTGTGTGGAGAAACAGCAGCTATCTAAGCACGGCCTGCGTGCTGCTCGTTGCGCTTTGCCAAGAACTCTTTCTCGGCGGCCTCGACAACTTTATCAGACATACTGCCGTTAGTAGCGACGCACTGTTCCAGTAGGCAGTTGTAGAGCTTGGTGTTCTGTTCACGGCATGCCCATGCGACCGACAAAACACGGTTGTGGCTGCACTTGACGAATTCTGTCAGCATATACACACCCTGCACAACGTCGTCACACGCCTTGAAGGCGCGCGAGCGCACTTCCTTGACCAGCTTGTCGTACTCGCGGTTGCTCAGCACGGCCGACTTTTCCGACATGGTTGCAACTGCTTAGTCACCATTTTCATGTCGATGCGTGCGGCGCCGGCGGCGCATGCAGCCGCGCCAAAGGCAAAAACGAAAGCAAAGCAGCGCTACCTGCGCGCAAAGAAGGAGCGGAGGAAGGCAAGAAAGCTGGCGGCGCCGAAGCGGCCAGGGAGCGCTATGGACGAAAAACAGGACAACAATGAAGCCGAGAGCAGCAGCAGCGATGAGGACGACGACGAATCTGCGTCGGCAGCCTCAGATGCGCCCGAAGAGCCTACTCACATTGACGCCACCCCTCTGCAGCCGCATGTGCAGGACGTGCGGGAGGCGCAGGAGGCGCAGAATGATACCCCAGCAACCACAGGCGCGCCTGGAGATGCCATGCATGTCGACGCCTCTGCAGAGCCGGCGCTGTACAGATTCCCCAGGCCGCAGAAGACCATTGTCGCCGATGCCGCAGAGCTTGCTGCGCTTGGCGTGCCCCAGGGCATGGATGCCGCTATGGTTGTCGACCCTGCGCTGACACGCCCGGTGGAAGAGACGGCACAGATCTGTGGAGTCGAAGTCAGCCACGCCGTGAAGCGGCAGCTAGACCGCCTGGGCATCTCCGAGTGGTTTGCAGTGCAGGCATCCGTCATCCCGCTGCTATTGCAAAATCCTGCTACGCGAAAATTGTATATGCCATACACGCCTCCACGCGATATTTGCGTCTCTGCGCCAACTGGCAGTGGCAAGACGCTCGCATACACGGTGCCGCTTATTGAAGCGCTGCGTGCGCGTGTCGTTGTGCGACTCCGAGCGCTGATTCTCGTGCCGACACGAGACTTGGCGCTGCAGGTGTTTGAGATGTTTGAAGCTGTCGGCCGTGGGAGTGGACTGCGTGTCGCGCTGGCTACGGGCAGCCACAGCTTCAAGCATGAGCAGGCGCAGCTTGTGGGCAACCTTGGCACGAACGAAAGTCCCGAGTATACCAGCCTTGTTGACGTGCTTATCGCAACGCCGGGACGTTTGGTTGACCACATTAGCGGCACGCCCGGACTGTCTCTGGAGCACCTGCGCTTCTTGGTTGTTGACGAGGCTGACCGACTGCTTGGCCAGTCGTTCCAGCAGTGGGTGTCTGTGCTGCTGGACGCCATCGAGCGGTCGGCCCCCAAGACCGAGCCGTGGACTCGCGACGACATGGATACAGCGTCGAGTTCAGTGCAGAAGCTGCTGTTTTCCGCGACGCTCACGCGCGATCCAGCAAAGCTCGGCGCGCTGAAACTCCGGAATCCGCAGTATGTAAGCGTCGGCGACGGCGCAATGGAGGAGCGCTACGCATTCCCGCCCCTCCTGCACGAGCACATGGTCATTACTGATGCAGCCTCCAAGGTGCTGCATCTCATTGCACTGCTCCATGATGGTCCTGACCCTGTTAGGCAGGCGCTGTGCTTTACCAAGAGTGTGGAGGCAGCGAACCGTCTCGTGCGGCTGCTTACATTTTTCGAGGAATGCTGGGCCAAGGAGACTGGGTCACAGGCATTGTCTGTGCGCTTCTACTCGAGTGACCTGAGCGCCCAGCAGCGGATGCAGATGCTTCGCGAGTTCAGGACAGGCTCTGTGGACATTTTGGTATGCTCCGACCTAATTGCACGTGGCATTGACCTGCCTGAGGTGCGCCATGTGGTCTCCTACGACGTGCCGATCGAAATGGCAAAGTATGTCCACCGTGTCGGCCGTACCGCCCGTGCTGGGCGTGAGGGCGATGCATGGACGCTTGTCGAGGAGCAGGAGGTATTCCACTTTAAGCAGATGCTCCGTCGCGCCGGTCGGCTCGAGCATGTCGAGTCATGCTCAACGGCCGACACTGAGCGCTTCATGCCGAGCTACAAGGGCGCGCTTGCCCAGCTTGCTCGCGTCTATAGCCAGCAGCATGTACACTAAATGAAAGCAATGTCTGGGTATCCACTCTCGACAAACCTATCCAAGGACATTAGACGTCTTCCTCCGCTTCTTGGCCGCGCCTTTCTGGAACGAGCGCCAGCCCTTGACGCGCTCCTCCCGCGTGTCCTCCCACCGGGTATCAGGTTCAGCCTTGCGGCGCAGCTCCTCCTCTGCCTCTTCACGGCGCAGACGCGCAAATATCTCCGCTTCCTGCTTCATGCGCTGTGCCCGCCGCTTGCGGACCTCTTCGTCGACCAAAAAGTGCTTGACACACTCGCGTACACGCTCCTGCCACGATGGAATGAGTCCTGCAAGGCGCCCGCTGGCCTCTTCCTGTGCAATCTGGTCCATCTCGATCTCGCTAGCGAGGTTCAGCTCATGCAGTGCAAGTCGCTCCGCAGAGCGGACGACGCTGTCGATGTTCTTGCGGCGCTCTTCATCCAGCAGGTCTGTAGAGGCCTGCTGCAGCATGCCGAACGCTTCGTGTGCACGCTGAGCATCGCCCTGCACCTTGTCTGGATGGATGAGCAAGCTCTTGCGACGGAAAATACGCTGAATCGTCTTTTCGTCGGCGTGTGTGGGCACATCGAGGATGTCGTACGGGTTCATCTTGAAGGCGACAGTGAGAATGCGGTCGATCTCAAGCTGTTGGAGGAACGCATTCTGCTCTGCCTGCCGTTTTCGCCGCCGCTCATCATCTGTGAGTGGTTGGCGTGGCGCAGACGATGACGAGGCTGTTGTCTGTGCTGGCGCTGCAGACGAAGCTGACGCTGCTGCACTTGTTGTGGCTGAAGCTGTGGCTGTGGCTGTTGCTGATGCAGACGGTGTCGCTGCAGTGTCTGTCCGGGGCGGCTTGCTTGCGCGTTCCTGTTGGGGTGTGTCGCCGACAGACTTTTTGGCCAGCCTGGGCGGCGGAGGCGGTGGGCCCGGCGGTGGGCCAGGCGCCTGTGGAGTGGACATCAATAGATGTCAAATTTCGAAATATTCAACTAAATTCGCTGACACCATGGGGAGACGATCCAACAAGGACCCGCCTGCTGCTGAGCTCCGTGCCCACCATGCCCGCCTCATGGAGAGGCACTCGTTTGTGTCTGACGTGACGACTGGTCGCTGGCTCGTCGCTCCAGTGTCCGCGCTGCGTCTGGCGCTTCTTTTCGTGGCTGCATACGTGGCCTGGGAGTACCTTGCTCCAGTCGCGTGGAACCCCATCCGCCCCTTCCTGTTCATTTCGTACCGTCTGCCTGCCACCGAGGTGGTGATTGCCGAGTCGAAGAGGCACATGTTTGGCCCCAAGCCGACATACTCGCTTGACAACCCGCTTCTCACTGCCATCCGCTCGTTCTGCCATCTTGTGCACTTCAAGCTGTTGCCCAAGGAGGCGCCTTTCCTTCGCTACGGCAAGGGCTGGCTCGACGTGTGCTTCATCGCCTACTATGTGATCGTGTTCAGTTTCCTCCGCCAGACCCTCACTCTGCATGTGTTCCGTCCTCTCGCGCAGCGCCTCGGCATCCGCTCCGAGGCCAAGCTGAACCGCTTTGCCGAGCAGGGCTACGGCCTCATGTACTGGGGCACCACCAGCCTTGTTGGTGTGTATGTCATGTCGTTCCAGGACAGCTGGTGGTACAACTTTGAGCACTTTTGGTACCAGTATCCGCACTGGCAGATGCGCCGTGAGCTCAAGCTGTACTACCTGCTCCAGGGCAGTTTCTGGCTGCAGCAGGCATTTGTCATGCTTCTGCGTCTCGAACGCCCCCGCAAGGACTACTATGAGCTTGTCGCGCACCACCTCGTCACGCTGTGGCTCATCGGTTGGTCGTACTTTATCAACCTGAACCAGATCGGCACCTCGGTGTTTGTGTGCATGGACATCCCCGACACCTTCCTCGCACTGTCTAAGCTGCTCAACTACCTCGACCTGAACCTGGCCGCGGCTACTACCTACACGCTGTTCATGGTCATCTGGTCGTACTTCCGCATTTACCTCAGCGCACGCACGCTGGCCTCGGTCTACTTTGACTACCACAAGATCCCCGAGTATGCGCGCACATTCTTCCCCTCACGGGGCCACTGGCTCGTGTGGTGGATGCAGTGCCACGTATTCGCGCCTCTGCTGCTGCTGCTGCTGCTCAACATCTTCTGGTATGTAATCATGTGGCGCGTGTTTGCAAACGCGATCCGCGGAGTTTACGGAGATGAGCGGGAGGACGGCGAGTTCGACGATGACGAAGAGCCAAAGAAGGACAAGTAGATAAATAAACAAATAAATATACATGTAAATCATACGTTGCGCAAAATGTCAGCGCTGCCATACGTAGGGCGCGATGCCTACTCGCTAGTAGCACCAGAACATGTACAGAGTTACATGGCAAAAAGAGAAACCAACGGGGCGCACTGGGAATTGAACCCAGGACCTCTTCTAGATTGTGACGAGCACCCTAAAGAAGAATCATACCACTAGACCATGCGCCCGAACAGAGCCATGGGGCGCACTGGGAATTGAACCCAGGACCTCTTCTAAATTGCGTCGAAACACCCTAAAGAAGAATCATACCACTAGACCATGCGCCCATAGTAGCTAAGGGGCGCACTGGGAATTGAACCCAGGACCTCTTCTAGATTGCGTCGAAACACCCTAAAGAAGAATCATACCACTAGACCATGCGCCCTTGCTGACGGGAGCTGCCCAAGGTCCCTCTATGACAGTAACGGGGCCTAATACTAGTCGTTATACTAATAGCTTAAATTAACTTGCGTAGGAGGACATGATAGTTTAATGCAGATAGGATTAATTGGTTGAATACATGTTTTCCTTTTTCTTTTTCTTTTGCTAAGCCTCGTAGCGTACTCGGCTCGCAGATACATAACACTTTTGATTCGAATAGCCATTCGCCGATGCATCACCCTCGGATGAAACAAGCATAAAGCCAAGCGGGCCAGCGCCGCAGTCAGGACAAGTAATGTACTTGATAGTGCGAGTTTCTCCAGGTACAACACCCAACTTGTACGACGGCAGTTCGCCGTTATCTGTCTCACGAGAGGTATTGGTCTGGCCACGCTGCGGATCCGAGGTAGAAAGCGAGCGCATGGACATGGACATCTGCCGCTTCTTCTCCTTGGGGGCCTCGACAGGCGACTGCGCCTGGACAGTGGGCGGCGGAACCTTCCACGCAACATCGTGCGAGAACGACACATTGTCGAACTGCATCGGTGACGAGAGCACCCACATGCCACGAATAGGCCCAATCGGGTCGCGAGCAACGCCAACAGTCTGGTCGCGCTTGGTGTATCGCCCCTCTGGCCATGAAAACTTGAGCTGGTCCATGGCCAAGCTGGTCTGCAGTTCAGAGCTGCCTCCGTCCTTGTTGCGCACCATCACGTTCGTGTCGACCAACGGACCAAACTCCTTTGTCTCCCACACGGCCGTGTTCTTTGCAATCAGCGAGCAGTTGCAGCTTTCGTCAGGGCAGTACAGACGAGCGCGATTTGTGCCGCTGCTTTTCTCCACGAGATGCGCCACAAGTGCGTCCAGCGAGTCTTCCCAAGGGGTCTTTGCAGCGACTGCGCGGCCAAACACGACAGATAGCGGGATTGCACTGCTGGTGCTGCGCTGCAATTGCGGTTGCTGCGTAGGTGAAATGCCAAGGTCTCGCGCAGTGCCTTCGCTAATGTTAGACTGAGCAAGAAGCGCAGCGAGCATCTTTTCCTGGGTCATGGGCGGGGACACGGACAGCGGCGACTCGGTGCAGATGTTGTTCGGGGTATCGCCAAACGAGCGCGACTGCTGCTGCTCAATTGTAGTCTGAGCAGACAGGGGAATGCTTAGTGAGCTCCTGTCAGGGTGCCACAGGTCTTCAAATGTAAGTGCCGAGTCAAACCTCGGAGTGCTGCCCTTTACGGGGCGGCGCATCTCGATCCACTCGTTGCTGGTGCCGCGGGAGATGTGGCTCACGCCGTGGAACTTGAAACCTGCCTTCATGAAAAATCCGACCGTCTGCTCGCGGCAGATAAGCGAGATAACCTCGTAGCCATGCGGCTTCTCGGAGCTCTGGCCGCTCTCGACGGTTTGGATGCGGTCGATGAACGCCGCAAGCAGCCGGAGACCCAGACCCTGGTGGCGGTACTGTTTTTCGACACAGACGAGATGGATGCACACAATTCGCGCCAGATCGGACGTGCTGTGGCCGTAGAAGCTCTGTGCGATCATGGCAGGGGCTGCAGTTGCGGTGCAGAAGCCAATTAGCCGTCTCCGAGGCTCTGAGCCACTCACAGACAATGGGCCGGCGGCGATAGGCATCGACTGCGGGATGTCGACGAATGCGCCGTAGAACAGGTGAGGCGCCGCCTTTTGCCGATTAATCATAACTTCGAAAGAGAGCGAGTCTTCCTTTGGCAGAGTCGCGCGGGCAATGGTGCTTGCTGCGCGGACCTCATCACTTTTGAGATAGTCGAACGTGATTGCTGAACGGTGTCCGTTCGAGCTGACGCCCACAACAGACGACGAAGACGACGAACGAGACTGCGAATCGGTATTGCGGCGCGAACCAGACGCCGAGAAGGGAAAGCTGATGCGAGAACGCGCCTCTCCATCACCGACAGGTGTCATGGAGAGTGCCGCGCGCACATCGCCCGTGTCAAACTTGCCAGACGATTTTCGCCCAAGCGGCATGGTGGTGCAGGCCGTGCGCAGTAGCACGCGACACGGAACGCCACGTGCACATGACCGAACGCCATGGAACTTCCCGGCCGAGCTCGCACGGACGCCACGCTGGCGCGACATAAAAAAGGCGGGTCGAGTCGTGCATACACACCACAAACAGTGTAAGTACGGAGGCTGTGTGAAGCACGCGGTACTAACATGCAGCATGGCCTTTGCGCCCTCGCTTGCCCGTCGTTTTGCAGCCACTTCTACTATCATGAGCAACGTATTCTTTGACATTACCAAGAACGGCGCCCCTCTCGGCACCATCAAGTTCAAGCTCTACGACGATGTGGTGCCCAAGACTGCCACCAACTTCCGTGCCCTCGCCACTGGTGAGAAGGGCTTCGGCTACGCTGGCTCGTCGTTCCACCGCATCATCCCCGAGTTCATGCTCCAGGGTGGTGACTTCACCGCCGGCAACGGCACTGGTGGCAAGAGCATCTACGGTGCCAAGTTCGCCGACGAGAACTTCCAGATCCGCCACACCCGCCCTGGTCTCCTCTCGATGGCCAACGCCGGCCCCAACACCAACGGCTCGCAGTTCTTCATCACTACTGTGCCTACTCCTTGGCTCGACGGCCGCCACGTCGTCTTCGGCGAGGTTGTCGAGGGTCTCGACGTGGTCAAGGCCATTGAGCGCGAGGGCTCTGGCAGCGGCCGCCCCAAGAGCGTGATCACCATCGCCAAGTCGGGTGTCTACTAAGTAGCTATTGAATTCCACCCGCCGAACCGTGCGTCGCCGAGTGAGGCGCCGCCACGGTCACCATTAGAACTGCCCCCTGCCCGTTTCCACGCGTCGCGGCTGACAGTCCGCGACGCCAGCAGCTTGGCGTCCGCTCCGCTGGCACGCAACAGTGCTGCAGCACCGGCCACGGCCGCATTGCCAGGGTCGTCCGGCACCCGCACGTCCACAGGGAGGTCTATTGGGGCAATCGCTCGGATCTCCGCTGCGAGACGCCGGCGCATGCCGGCGGCACTAGCCGTTTCGCCGACCAAGACAATGTGTGACCACATGAGGTCCCTAAAAGGCTCCTCCACTAGCCCAATGCTTGTGGCCACGAGCTCAGCCAGCGAACCCTGCTGGAGGCCGATGCGCTGCGGAGCAAAGTAGTGCTCGAGCAGCTGGTAGCGCTCCTGCCCCAACGTCAGCACCTGCTGGTCTGTCGACTTGGCACGGCGGGGCGTCGATGCATCGCCAGCGATGAATACGTCGAGCGCCGCGTCTGGATCGCTCGGTAGGCGCGTGCCGCGGGCACCAGGGCCAGTGCGTATGTAGCCGTACTTTGTCGCGGGGTCGCGCGCCTGCTCTGGCTCAGCATAGTCGGGCAGCACGTATTCCTGCACCACATTGTTGTATGGATCGTCGTGGAAAAGCTCCACCAGTTGGGAAAAAGTCCAGTTGCGCGGCAGAGTTTCAGTGGTGGAGGCTTTCGCGGCGCCGTCCTGCGGCGCAGCCGCGACAAAGCAGGAGCGGCTCTTCATCTTGTCTGTCAGGAACGTCTCGTCCATCATGTTCCACTGCCTAAACGAGAACATCTCCTTGAGCAGGTTCGTGACCACCTTGCCGCACACGTCCAGTCGCTTCACCGCGTGCCACTGAACGTCGTCGCGCACGATCGGCACGGCATGGGTATAGCTGTGTCCCAGGTCAACAACCAAGAGACACTCGGGGCGCACAGGCAACGCATATGGCACGAGCTGAGCGGGCACCGCGCGCCAGAGCGCCTGCGCGCCATACCAGTCAAACAGCAGCGCCTCAAATGCACGCTGCTGCTCAGGAAGCACAAAATAGGGCTCAGTAGCAATCACTGTGCGGCCGGACAGTGCATTAAACGTATCTGCGCGCGAGATGCCCAGTTCTGCAGCAATCGCCTGGTCCCACACGGCCTTCTGTGCCGGCCAGTCGACCACGAGGCCACGGTCGATCGGCAGCCGCAGCTGAAGGCCGCCATAGTCGTTGCACTTGGCCTCGATATCAGCGCCCACAAGCACCTGGCGCTGCGTGCCGGGACGCGTACGTGCTATAGCGTTGGGTATGCAGCGCACAGCGCCGTGCGTTGCGACGCGCACATTTGCACCGCCAGTGTCAATCACGAGACCGCTGCCGCGTGTGGCGTCGCGCATACCTCCACCATGTCTTTTGGGCGGCCACCAACGTTCTCGTCGTTCCAGGTGCTCCCTCCTGAGCGTGGCTCTTTCCCCCTCGACCACGATGGGGACTGCAAGGGCCTCGTAATGGAGTACCTCAAGTGTCTTAAAAATCACAAGAACGACAATGGCCAGTGTCGCCACCTGAGCAAAGCATATCTTCAGTGCCGTATGGACAAGTGCGTATCCACTAACAGCAACCTGATGGAGCGAGACGATATGGAAAACCTAGGATTTGGCGATTTATCTCCAGATGCAAAGGAAAGTACAAAACTATAGCGCACGTTCAATGTCGATAGCTTGCAGAGTCTCACGTACCACCTCGGCGACCTGGCTGCTGCTGCCGAACCCGATCCGGGCCTCACCGAGCGCCTGGACCAGTGCACCACGCGCGATCTCTAGGCGCGGGCCACGCAGCTGGGGAACACTGATGGCTCGCTCGGCCACGGGAGACTGAGCGGGCGGCACGCCTGGCTCGTGCGCCAAAAGCTTGCCGAGAGTCGCAAGCAGTACTGCTCGAATAGGGTGTCCTGGGGGGTATATGGAGCTCCGCTCGTCGGCTGCAACTCCACGAGCCTGCATGCCAGCACACAGGAGGAAAGCGAGCGTCGTTGCATCGTCCCAGAGGGCAGCAGCGTCCGTGGACTTTTCTGCGCGTTCAATCGCCTGAACATGCGCAGCGTACATGAGCATCCAGGACAGCGTGTTTGACGGCGGAAAG